CCCCCGCCCATGAGGTCCCACCTGTGCTAACCCGTTCTATGCCCCAGGTTCCCGTGACCCCCTTGTCTGCCCTTCGACTGCTACAATGAGATACGCACCAGAGTTCAAAAAGTCCCCCTCGCACCTCCTGAAGAAATTTGCAGGTAACGGGGAAGGCCCGCCGCGGCCTGTTTCACTCCACGGTGGTGGCCGTTACTCACCAGGCTGAGCCAGGGGCGGGGGGCAATGGGATGCAGGAAAATGCTGTGCAGCCTTCGTTTTCTTGCAAGTGTCCGTAGAGACGTCTGAGCCGGAGGTGTTCAGTGTCACAAACACGTTCAGCTGGCTCACGGGGCCCCAGGGTCAAAGACGTTTCCGTGTGACGAGCCACATGGACGCTTCCATCTCAAAACGTTTGTTGCAAGAGCGACTTTCTCTTGAAGAGAACACGTTTCTCAGCAGGAAAGCCTACCTCCCCCATCCTGGGTGCCCGGGGTCTGCGGTCAGACACTCGTACTGGGCACCGGGGGAAACCAGGGCAGTGGGGCCCGCGAGGCTGCCGGTCTGAGTGTGCACACATCCACGTGTGGCCACGGAGAGCCACACAGGGTGCCCTGCGCGGGCGAGGAGGGAGGGGCCGTTCCCACCGGGCACGCTGCCGTGTGACTCAACTTTTCTTCTCGGGGGAGCTTGTCTGCCTGCACTGTGTGATAAAAGATAAGAAAATGGAAGGAAAAGAAATTTGGTTTCTTCCTTTTTTTTCTTTCTTTGGCTTGGAGCCTGGACTGGCGGGGGAGGGTTCTGGGCTGGCCAGGCTTCGGTGAGACAGTTTCCCTGTCGCTCGGCAGGAATCCACCGAGGGCTGGGCTGGGGCTCACTCGCTTGGACGCCCTTCCTGGGGCCAGTCTCTGGGGCTCCATCACACAGGGCAGCCGGGACACGGAGGTCAGTGGGTCTGGCTCTAAGCCGGGCCGCGGGGGGCCCGCTGGAGGGGCTGTGGTTTCTGATCCACAAGGCCCAGGGCAGAGGAGCGGGCTGGCCTGGAGTTGCCCCTCGAGTCTCCTGGCGGAAGCACCCATATGGGCGACAGTGTGTTCTTAGGGCCCGGGAGTGGACAGCCTCTCTCGCCTCTCTACTTCAGGGCTGTGGGACTGGTGGCCCCGGGGCAGTGGCGAGGGAGAGCGGTGCCCACCCCTTCTCCAGGTGTGGGTTAGGGCAGGTTGGTCACTCAGGTGTACCGAGGAAAGCCGGGGTCCCACCTGTGCTAACCTGCTTGGGGCGGGAGGTCGTCTTCCCTGTCCTCACTGACCCACAGGAGGGCCCCGCTCTCCGGGCTCACAGTGACCCACCTGCACTTAGCCCCTAAGCTGCTATTCCTCCAAGTTTGCGGTGGGGGGTGAATGGGAGCATGTGACAGTACGTCTCTGTCACCCTCTGTAGGCGTCCATGTGGCTGTCACATGTTTTTACTCTGAGACTTGTTGCTAAACTGTTAGATGACAGCTGGGTTTGTCAGCACCTGCCGGCAGCCTTCCTGGGGCCAGATGTGGTGCTTCTCTTGTTGCAGGCTGCCTCTGCT